CATTCATGCAAATATATCACAAAACTATGTGTCCTAAGTTGGCATATGCATTCAACCATTCATTACAAACTAAATAATGAAAGAACTATACAACTGAGAGCTAATCCCCTCAATGCTCCATTGTGCCTTCCTTTCCCTTGCCCTTATCGAAGCCTTCACCTATAAAATGTAACCACGGGGTGAGTTGAGGACTCAGTAACCAAATAATCTAATCAACTACTCATGTGTGAGAATAGTTTGTGCGTATGTGAAGTGGCATAGTAAATCATATAACATGTCTCATAAATCCACACATATGGTTATAGTATGATATGCATGATCAACACACCACCTTATACCCTCCTTATATCTTCCGACTGAATCTGTGGGCTGACAATTCTATAGGACCAAGTCCATGTGACTGGACTAGCTTAAGTTCACCATTAGTAGGAGGCAGCCTTGGCCAAGAGCACCTTCACCCACTATGGACCACAGATTTTCCCCTACCTACAAAACTTAGGGGTATGGATATGCCCAATCTACTACTTGTAGTACTGAAACTTTCAAACAATATAATACTGAGCATTGGTGCCTCTATGATGCCAGTGTACCATATGAATTTTCAAATAATGTCTCAAAAACACACTAAGGTGAACTTCCATCCTCTCACAATGATCATGCCAACAAGCTTAATGCATCTAATACATATTCATAACATATCAATGATCATAGTTGCTCATTTCCATGTAAACTATAGAATTTCACAAGTAGTTATATATAAAAATAGCATTTACTCTTCAAATACTAAAACATTAAAACAACTTTTCATTCCACTCCACATAACTTTAAAATCATAATTTTATATTATTACTATATTAATACCAAACCAAAATATTAATTTCAAAATCTACATACTACATCCAAACACACAAAAAGGAATATTAGACAATTCGGTTACCTCAATCCTTTTATCATTAAAAGGGTTACCGTGATCAACCAATGGCTTCACAAGTGTCCACTAGCACCACAATACTCGATTAAAGGTTAATCTATACAATTAAACCTTTAATTGTCAAATTCCCACACTAAATACCTCATTTATAGTACAACTAGGGGTATCCATTATGCTCAAAACCTTAATTTAGCCTTAACAATCCTTCCAACACATTACATTAACCTAACTTAGCATCCCAACACATAAATAATACCATTACATTACCTACATTGCTCTTAATCATCCAATTTCTACCTAGTTTGTCCAAACCCAAACTAACAACTCTAAATCTTTATGAAATCCATAAATATAGGTTTAGAGGCTTGATTTAACTCCCCAAGGCCTTAATTAAGGCAATGGGTTCAATCATTACCTAAGAAAACACTAAATCAAATCCCTATAATACCCAAATCATCAGAAAGTTTAAATATAGGGAGAAAGAGAAGTGAAGGAAGCTTACCCAAAGCTAAATATTGCTTGAAATGCTTTCAAAGTGACCTTAATGCCGTGCCCTAGCATCCACTAGTCATCTACCATCATTTATTCATATTTTCTCTATCCCTCTTCTCATTTTCTATCTGATTTCATAAGTTGATAAACACAGATTTTGCACATGTGCCACGGCATATTGGATGTCACCGCAGTGCATGGCATAGAGAACTTCACACATACATTTTGAATCTCTCTTCGTGTCATGACCTGCTTATACTCCGATCTAGTCCTCTTTTAAGGTTGTTCAAGGATCTATTAACTATATTAGTCTTCCTAAAATACTATTAAGCAAAGATTCACTCAATTTGACTAAAATACCCTTCTAAATATTGAAAATTTCTCAAGTTAAAATCTAGGATGTTATAATATGCACTAACATTCATTTAAAATCCAAAAGATTCTTCATGAATAGAAAATATGTCATATACTTTATGAATTTATATGTGCAGCTTGTTCTCAAAGAAAATATAAGGATTTCATTGGTCATCATTGAGAATGGATCTATCCATTTTTGAAAATATAACAAATTCAAATACATGGTCCCATTCAAATAATATGTAAATAGAACAAATATTCAATAAATTTGATAGATGCATCAATAATATGTTTTTGGAACAAGAAATTTGAAAGATTATATGCATAAATCATTATGTAAAAGCATGCAATTTCCAAACTATGTAATCCAGATAATTTTAGTTAGAAATGCTAGTGAATTCATACCTTAGACTTTCAATTATCATTGTATTCTCATTAGAAGAATAGTTGAAAAAACCTATTAAAAAGCTGATCTAACAAAATTATTCATTAAAGCCTCCTCTAAATAAGTTATTGGAGCTTTACTAATGGGATACATAATGAATATAAGTCTAATAGAGGTTTTGGGGATTTAGACTTGGATTGTGGGAATTAATTGTGATTAGTCATAATTAGTCCCTAATAGCAATTATTGCACTTAGTTGTCAATTTTGAATGCTTGATCTTGTTGGAGGCTCCTTGGGTCATCAAAGTATACTCTTGGTTTAGTAAAACTAAGAGTTGAGATAACCAGGAATTAATTTCTCTTATATATTTGTTGATTGTAAATTAATATGAGATTAATTTTCACATGATAATGGATGGAATTAATGATTAGCTATGTGGAAAATTAAAGGCTTGGGTTGTGAACTTGAAGTTGAGACTGAGATCTACATGAGCTACTTATTGATATTGTAGCATGAGGAGTTAAAAGGATATGTTGATGTATAAATGTATATGTATGCCTTAGAAGAATGTGTTTAAATGATAATAAAAGCTGTTGCACGAACCATAGGTTTAATGCCCTCTTTCTGATGCATTGAACTTGATGTGATGATTTTGTGTTGTTGAATATGATTATGTATATTGGCATATCATAAATGTATGACTTGAATTTTTATTGAGCATGATGAGGTGAACATTGTTTTGTTAAGTATAAATAAGATTGCATATACATGAGAATGTCATGAGAGCATGACTTGTTTTGCATAATCATGAATAGATGGGAGTTTACTTGAGTGAGAGTATAGGGTGGTATGATGGAATTCCATGTGGTGTGGCTCCATTGAGAGTTGCACATAGTGGTTAGCATGTGATTTACTAAAAGTGCTTAGTATTGCCAATATTAATTCTTCGAGAATTGGCATGGGCTAGGAAACTATTGACACCATTAAGATTATGAGAAGGGGGAATCCATGGTTAAGTAACCTCTCATAATTAGAGAGTCGGGTTAATTCAATCACATAGGTTAGCCCTATATCTATAATTGGTCATGTGTTTAGTTAAAAGTTATAAGAAGAGTAATAAAATGACATGCACGATCATGCATATTGCATAGTGCTCACATACATGCATTAGTAATTAATAGATTGTGAGTTGAAAATATATGTTAATGTATGCTTTACTTGTTACTTATGCATATGTTTAAATCTATGTATCATAGTTATTAAGATATTTATATCTCACAATTGCATGAGAGGGTAGGAGAGAAAAGGATTAAATTGAAGACATTTTGTAATGTTTTTACTTATTCCCATGTGTAAGTTTGAGTATAATATTGCCAACTAGGGGTACTTTTGCTTATTAAATCATGGATGCATCTGGGCTATGATTTTGCTAGCATGATAGGTTGGTTAGTATTGGTCATTGGTCAAACTTGGATTTTGTGTCACTCAATTGATAGGAAAATTGGAAAAAGGTTCATTTATCATCCTGGGTGTCCAAATTTACCCTATGACATTGGATGTTGGTGAATTTGAAGTCATTAGTTAATTTGCCTAATTATTTTCATATAAGCACTTGGATCACCTTAATCCAAGGTTCGGGTAGGGAATTAGATGCTTTGGAAGTTGGGATCTATGAGCTATCATTGCTATATGATCTATTATTGTTACAAAATCATTAGTGTGTTTTATTTTGTACTAAATTGATTGGTCTTAAAGTATCATATGTTTATAAACATTTATAAATTTGACTAATATTATATTTGTTATAATTTTATTAGCAAGTTTAAGTTCCTTATGAACTAAAAGGTATCAATATATAAATATGATATTCTAAGAAATTGTTTTATGAAACAGATGTAAAATATATCATAAAAATATGTAAAATAACTTCTGTTGTTACTTTCATTGTACATATGGCAAATAAAAAGCATATTGATAATTTACCATATTCAAAAGATATGTTAGAGGAATATCTTTCAAGAAATTATATGATAACAATGCATCTAATATGGGTTTACCAAAAGTAATATCCATTTGGAAAAGTACTAACAATATTCACGTTTGAGAATTTATTATATTATCTTAAAGTACAATAATGTAAAAATATTGTCACCAACTGGAGTCTATATACATTGTACTATTTTTTTTCCTTAACAAAGGTTTTATTTCAATAAGTTTTTCTGAAAAAGTTTTTAATGAGGCGGCATTTGATAGTGTTCAGATAAATGTTACTCTTTTTTTTTACTAGGTTTTTATCTCACAAGGTTTTTAATAAGACACATTTTTATATAATAGACATTTAAGGGAGAGTGATATGAATATTAAAAGTGTGGATATCTTTCTCTCTTACCTCTTCATCTTCTTTCCTACAACTTTTGCTATCATTATTTCGTTAATCCTATACTCAACTTTCATTCACAAATTCATGAGTGTTAATTATCTTTTATTTGTCATCATCATTTATATAACCTTTGATATAACATCATATTTGCAAGGCATGTTATTTGTATTGCAAATGACAATATAATAATCCATAAGAAAATTTTTCATTCTCTTATCTTCATTTCTTCTCCATATATTTTATTTTTTAGTGGTTTAATTTCATAACATTATGGATTACTTTTTCCCTTTCTTTTTTCAGTGGCCTCTTGGTTTATAGGGCTGGTTTTCAGATTTAAAAATAATTAAAAGAAAATCTTAAACAACGGTACAAAATGGTGTTTTGTTTTTGTTTTTTAAACCATTTCCTATGAAGCTGTGCGTTTAGTTTAATGTGGTCAGACGCCAAACCTAATCTCCATTTCCATTACGCAGTCTTCACGCTTCAGTAGGGTTTAAGCTCGATGGTCTCGGGCAGTTTGTTCACAATGTGCACCCTGGTTTCAATGGTTCAATCTGATGAATTTGCCGTATGAGATTTCAGATATCGTAGTCAAATTCTCCGAAAGATGAGGCATTTGCGATTCATACGTATTTCACATCTTCGCAAATCTCTAGGTCAAAACCCCAGCTTCAATCCTCCGGCAATTTCAACACCAATTAACTTTCCGGATCGACAATCGAAAATCCAATATGTTTCGAGTTTCACGCGTTATTACACTACTCCTTCACAAGATTCAAAGCCTGTCCAATCCGAGAAGGTCTCAGCCATTGTGGACGAGCTCATGGGTCTCAGTTTGCTTGAAGTAATGGACCTTGTTGAAGTTATGAGGGAGAAAAGGGGCGTCAACGAGCTCCCTCTCATGATGGTGATGATGCCCGGAATGGGAGTCGCTAGCCTGAAGGGTGCGGCGAAGGGTGGTGGTCCCAAGGGAGGAGGAGAAGAGAAGAAGGCGGAAAAGACGGCGTTTGATGTGAAGCTTGAAGGATTTGATGCCGCTGCGAAGATCAAGGTGATTAAAGAAGTGAGGACGATTACCAGTCTGGGTTTGAAGGAGGCCAAGGATTTGGTGGAGAAGGCGCCGACCCTTTTGAAGAAAGGTATAACGAAAGAGGAAGCAGAAACGATTATTGCCAAGATGAAGGAGGCTGGTGCGAAAGTAACAATGGAATAAGATAGGTAATTGCATCTTAATGATAAGTAGTCGTTCTCTGTTTTTCTTCGTATGACACATTTTCACACATATTTGGGTTGCTACATTGGCCCCGCATCCATCTTCAAGCTATAATTTGTGTATGTTGAATGGCTTATGAATTGGTTCCAGGAATGATGAGAACACAAGTGATTGTCTTTGAATTCTTTCTACCGTCTTCATTATTTCTTGTTTAAGAAAAGTGATCCTGAGATGTAAGATGGAGTACAAAATCTTACGCTTGAAAGAGCAAGAAATCTTGCAGAAAATTAAACCATACTGTGATGCTGACATCATTAAGTATAATATGTTGACACCCTAAACTCCTTTTTGAAATTCTACAGAGAATAGCATTGCTAGTTAGTTCCTCTGTTCACCAAAATTTATGTAGATTCATGTTTATGTATTCACCTAGCCTTGTTAGCTCCCTAGTGAAGTCTGACTTGAATAATAGGAGCGTTTGAAGGGAGAATTTGTCACTGTCCTATCAGTTAAAGGCAGGTTCATTGAAAGAAGTTTTAGGACTATCAATATAGTTGTTATCTTAATAAAGAATAAATGAATAATGTGAAGATATTAAAAAGATCTATCATCTTTGCTAGAATCCTGTTCTTTAATTGCTTCGTACACTAAGTTGTACTGTTTTCCGCCTTTGACAAAATGCAGTAGGTGAACCAAACCCGTCCCAAGCACTGTCTATTTATTTTTCTTGTAAAATTTGTTCCCAAGTTTGGAGGAAAGGGAAATAATGCCAGTCAAAGTAAAACGAAGGAATTTCATGAAGTCTCTCTTTCTTTAATTTTGGCATCACTGTGAAACATGGTTGAGTTATATCAAATTATTATTGATAGATGATAGTTAAATGCTCTTGTATCTAATCTACAAACTGACTACCCATTTTTCTAGCTATATCATTAGGGAGCCTTGTATGCTTCCTAGTGAATTATCTTACTGAGCAACAGGAGCTTTAAAAGGGAGTTTTTGTCACCATCCTATCAGCTAAAGGCAGTCCAATTCATTGACTGCAGTTTTAGATGAATCAATCCCATCTCAAGCTCTGTATTATTCTTATATGTGTTATGTTTCTTCTAAACTTGATTCCTGTGAAGTTAGGAAGGAGAAAAGAGAAATAATGCCAAGCAAAGTAAAAGGAAGAAAGTTCATGATGCTCTCTCTTTCCTTTATTTGGCATCACATAAACTCTGGAGGGGGCAAACAGTGTTGAGTTATATCAAATTATTATTATTGATGGATGATAGTTACTATTGCTTATTGCTCTTATTTCTGACACTAGAGCATGGTAGAAAGGTTCCATTAGATGATGGAGAAGGGGGTGTCAACTTTACTGACAAAACACAAAACAGGGTTGAGTTGTGTCAGAATTATCATTGATAGATGAAAGTTGTTATTGCTTGATGTGTTCATATCTGACATTATCACTTAGACTGTGTATCAAGTAAATATTTACCTAGTAAGCAGCCGCAATAATTTATTTCATTTCAATTTTTAAATTTGTGTTAATTTTGGCCTTCTTTTGTTGTATCAGGCGACAGAGCTAGTGCCTCACACTGGGGTTCAGTTTGGACATGATGATGTGAAGTCCATAGAACTGTGCAGAGCCACTTTCATTATCTCATTGGTCTTTCTCGTTTACAAGGCTTCTTTTTTCTTGAATGTTCTTAATCATTTTTTAAGCAATGTTGTAGAATGGGATTTGATGGTGGAATCATTTTTCAAACTGCCATACCCTTGATACCATTAGTGGAGTTTTAGATTCAGGGGATTGTTCATTTCTTTACCATAAGTCCATATCCTCAATCATGTTTAAATTGTTGGGCAGCGAGAATCATGTTTTTGTTTCTTAAATTGCTTTTTTTTTTTTTTTGAATTAGAGAAGTGGGCACTGATGGATTAGGTTACAAGTGGGATTGAGCCCGTGACTTTAGTTATAAGGAAGTTTACATGTTATTGGGCTACAATTCAATTAATATTTTTTATTTGCTTTGTGCACCAAGTTATGCTGTTTTATCCCTTTTTAGAGACATTTAAGGCCCATTGAAATGGTGTTTTGACAAATAAAATACAATCCCTATAAACTTCTCTGATATTATCAAGCAACAAACTTATTTATGATGAGTGAAACTCTATTGTATTGGAATTTGGATTAAGAAATATACTAAATTTGAAGGAAGGAATTTTTCTTTTTGTTTTAAAAAGTGAGTGTAAATAAAGTGATGTGAAAATATATAATCAATCCAGCTGATATTAGGAAATAATATACATGTCTAAAATTTATAAATAAATAAACATGTTTAATCGGAAATAATAACAGCTGATTTTTTAAAATTTCAAACTTGTATACTTTATTTTGTTCAATGTAACCTCCTTAATTCCTAACTTGACTGCAAAATAGAAAATGAAAATTCTATGGCCATTATTTTCTTTTAGATAAAAGATGACTTTTTTTGGGTATACATAAAAGAAGACATTTTGATAAGAGGATTTCAACCATTTCCTTAAAAAAGGACTTATCCTTAATTAACTTTTTAAAGCTTTTTCCCTAAAAAAGGTTAGTGCTATATTTCATCTCTAAAGAAAGTTTTCTTAGGAGAATGACATATGAGGACCAAAGGAATGTGGTATTGATATATAAATATCATGAAATGAGCTAAAATGTTTTTTTTTTTTTAGGAAAAGTCCAATATATATATATATATATATATATAGAATTGTTTGAAAAGACCTCTTTGGGAGGCAAATTGTATTGAGAGACCAAGACAAATTGAAGGATCAAGACCAAAATGCCCCAGTGCTTATAACCTTGCCCCTAAAGCCATACCCTTGCACACCAACCTTATGACTTTGTACCTCAAGCATATACCATATCACCCTACGCTTATAACCTTACACCTAAAGTCTATCACCCTGCACCTTGTACTTTAAACCTATACCCTTACACTTCAAGCCTATAAGCTTGCACCCAAAGCTTATTTATTACCTTGCATTTTACACTCCAAGACTATAAGCTTTCCCATAAAGCCTATAATTTTGCACCTAAGGCTACACATCAACCAAACCAAGTTGGGTTTATGATCAACCTAAGATTCAGTATGAGTATGCTTTAGGCTACACTTTGTATAACATCTTAAATTTTAATCCTTAGATTATTAAGAAATTAATTAAGTTTAATTATGGTAATGGAGTGATTTGATGTGGTGTGTGGCCAGGGAGGTCTAATAAATGTATTCGATTGTGTTTTTAGCCCTAATTATGGGTTTAAAGTGAAGTCGAGCCACCCAAGCATCGAAAGGAGGAGTAAACATGAAGGAAGTATCTTTGTGCCGTATACCATGGCATACAACATGTCTGCCGCGGCGCACAGATAACAAAGCAGTAAGGACCTCTTTGTGCCATCTGCTGTAATGCATGCTGCTTGCGCCACGGTGCACAACCAACATTTCTATTAAATTGGTCGTGAACAGATTGAAAATTAGAGAAGAGAAAAGGAAGAAAACGAAGAGCAAGCGGGAAGCTCTGTTAGGGTTCGCATTTAGAAGGTATTTAGGACATTCTAAGATAAGTATCATATACTCAATTTCTCCCTCTCTCTTTCATTTTAATGGGGGATTAGAATTAGGGTTTGAGTTAAGATGCTGATTTTTGGTTCATATAGGTTATGGGTCTAAACCTGTTGACTTTAATGGAGTTAATGGGTGTTGTTTAAAGTATTTAAACCTAGAAATGATGAGTTTTGACATCTTAGATTGGTTAGCCTTATTAATGTCTAAAAATAGAATTAATGAAGGTTGTTGGAGGAGTTGCAATGTCATTAATAGAAGTTTAATGACTCATTAATGTTATTGGGAACTAAAGAGAGTTTATAAACCTAATGGATAAGCCCAAAGGTAAAAATTAAGGATGTTGGGTGTTGTAGAAATGAAAATGCGAGAGTTGAAATTGTGCTCTTAACAATTTGTTGAAGTTTAGAATTGATTGATTGTAGATTGGGCATTTGGACACCATTTTAGCTTGGGAAATCAAGCTTGAAAGCTAATTATTGAGGGGTAAACCTTTTGACCTCTCAAAGGTTTGAGGTAATCGGGGGAACCCTATTTTAGGTAGTTGCTTATTAATTGCATTGCTAAATGAAATGTGGTTGTTTGTGTGTATATTGGTGATTGTGAATGTGTAAGCATGCTATGAATTCATGGGATTGTGTAATGGCTTTAATTTGAACTAAAGATGCAAAAGTGATCTTGAAATGAATTTCAAATTACAATGTAGTATGAAAATGAGTAATTGATAATGAGTATGATAAAGATGAATGTGTTAAGGTTGAAAATTTTCTCTCTCTGTATGTCTGTGTGATAAAGGTGAAAATAATGATTGATACTCACTTGGGTAGCGCATGGTCGTGAACCCAATGTGTTGATATTGAAAATGGATAAACGAAATTGTGAAGGTGAGTGGGTATCGTACATTGCATGATTAGTTGGCGAGAGTTCGCTTAGGGAGATGAGTAATTAAAATCCATAAGGTATTTTTGGCTACCTTTTGGTGCACGAGGGTATAACCTTGTTCCATAGTTTGTTAAAGAACTAGAACTTAGTGATCTCCATCAAGTTATCAAGGAGATTAGCTTAGGGTATACGACACCCTAAAGATTCTATAGTAGGGGAAACTATGGTCCGAGAGTGAGTCAAGTGATCTTTAGTTGGATCACACCTCACAATTGGTGAGCTTGGGTAGTCTAGTCACACGAATGGAGCCCTATTCGATGTTATAGCCCTCAAGTTCAATCAGAGGAAATAAGGAGGGTATAAAGATAGTTGATTATGCATTTGTGATTATATGACGTGTCATATAATTAAGTTATGGCAAGTCGTGTTAATATATCAGATTATGGTCACATGTCTGTGTGTCTTATGGTAATGTACCTTGTGATTGAATTAAAAATGAATTAATCAAGAAATGATAAGTTGTGATTCATGTGTTAGTACGTGTTTTAGGAAAATCAATTTCAAACTTATGTGTTTATTCAATTAATATGCAATTGCATAGGGTAAGCTTACCTTGGTTACTGAGTAGCTAGATTCTCCCATCTTCTTTAACATTTTACAGGCTCTAAATCTGGTATAGTGAGGGAAAAACTCTAGAGGTTTACGAATCTGAGTATTCTTAGTGTATGCCTCTATGATTTATTTATTTTGTGTAATAGACTTAATATTGCTAATTAGGATGCATTTTGTTTACACTTGCACTATGTAGTTGTTTGTGATGTCTAGAACTTATTTTGGGCCCTGAGTTGTTATTTATGATAAATTGTAAATGTTGATAGTGCAAGTGTATGAATGTTCATTTGATTACAATGGTGAATATTATTTTGAAATGCAATGCTAAAACCTTCCCTTTCTATTTTTGATATTAAAGGGTTTGACGAGTGAAATTTTGATATAGTGGTAAATTTGTGCATGTGGTATGTTGTACAAGTAGTCTTAGGTTCAATGAATATGGTTTGGGTGTTAGGAAAAGTTTTTGGCATTAGTATAGGGTTTTGGACACCCTTTTTGTTGTTAAAGTTGAGAAAAGTGGTGAAAATGTGTTTGGGTGTCTAACTTCCTAGTGTGACATGATTTAGAAGTAAAACCTATGCCAATAGCTGGCTTACAAAAAAAGTTTTCTGTAAACATTTAGATCATCTCATTCAAACATTGGATGGAGAAATAGGGCACACTCAAAGTTGCCCGAATTTTGCTATCAAATGACAACATAATTTGCTATTATAAGCATGCAACACGTCGTGGCGCATTGCACAGATAGTGATAAGCTGTGGCACATTGCTTTATTTTTAGCAACTTGAGAATTTTCAATTGTTTTCAACTCCTTTCACTCCTTTAAGGTATTCCACGCTTCCATAACACTATTTACTCTAATTAAAGATTAAATGTATGGTTTTAACTCATTTCAAATGAAAAACTTAGTAATTTCTTTATGGGTTAATCCTTTAATTACCTTAGATTTGAAATGTTAATTGTGATTAGATAAAATGGGATATTATAACTTGCTATCAAATCTTACACTTTATAATCCATAAACTAGTGTAGTCTGGAAGAACCGAATATCAGACTGGACTAGGTTTGGTCTCCAGACTAGTTTACCAAACCAATAATTTTTTAGTCAAGGTTGATCATTTGAAAATGTAAAAGATGAAGATGCTTGTATAGTTTCAGAAAAAGCCATGGATCAATGTTATTCAACACTACATGGTAAAAAAAATATTGTTCAACACTAATTAACAAAAGAAATTGTAACAACTACAAACTAATAACAATGCCCCCTCTTACAAATTGACCTTATCCACTCAAGAAAATAATTTTTATATTGATGAAATAAAAGTTAAGAAGCACAAAATAATTTCTAGAGGCAACTCAATGGCATCTTCAACACAAATTGACATTGAATCAATGGCAAGGAAGGATGAAGAAGCTGTGAACGTCTAAATGATAGATCAATGATAAAGGAGGGAGAAGAAACTTTGATCAATGGCAAGAAGAAGGAAGAATCACATATTGACGGTGAGGAGGAAGAAGAAGCATAAATCACTTATGAGAAGGAAGAAACAAACTAGATCTAACAATATGAAGGTAGATTGATGCTGGCTTCTTTGGTTGTCAATGGTGATGATGCCTAAAACGAAGGACAGGGAGGAGAAAGGAAGACGATCGATAATGATACTACTCTTTGCGTCTATGATGCCTTTGCAATGATAGCAGGAAGGAGAATATTAGATTAGAGGAAAGAGGGAAATTTTGTTAGTTTTGGGGAAGTAAGAAATAAGAAAGGATAGCTAAGGATGAGGGTGAGGGTCCTTATATTTTTTTATATTAATTATCGAGTTAGATAGACCATCTAGTTAGAGAAGTTAGTCTGGCGATCAGTTTGACCCGATGATATAACCCCCAGTCTGGTTGACCTAATCTTTCATTGAGTTTACTTATTTTGCACCATATTAGA